GGAAGAAAAAGAAAGAAGATGCTTTTACTAAAAACAATCCTCCCCCCACCCCCAACCTGCTTTCCATAACAATCAGCACCCAACAGTGAATGACTCTGAACTTTTTCACTCTCTCGTTTCAGACTCACTTATGCATTTTGGTGAATCCCTGATTCTCCAGCCCTGTTTGACAAGAGGATGCTTGTGCCCACCTCCCCTCAGAGCTTGCATCAGAATATATATTTTATGGAAACACAACATCATGTTCTAATCACTCTAGCCAACTCTCAGCTTCCTGCCTTATCCTCATATCTGGTGTTTTCCTCTTGAGGTTCAGGGGTGGGGGAAAGCACATCACCTTTTATCTCTTGGCTGCAGGTAACTTTCTCTCTCTTCTCTGCTTCTTTATTCTTCAAAAAGTTTGGCTGACTTATAATATCCTATTTTTAGCACTAGGTAAATATGAGGTCCATGGTAATAACAGCAACAACAGAGAATGTTTTTAAATGCTTCCTAAATGTCTGGGACCCTATTAAACACTTCAGTTCATCTCACAAGATGAGAGATATTGTGGTCTACAATGTACTGAGATGTTAAAATAACTTGTCCAGCATCATCCCACTGGAAAGCGAAGGGAAAAGGATTCAAATTAGACAGTCTGGCTCCAGAAATTGTTCCCTGGCCAAATTCACCATGGCAGATGAACATGGATCTACATCCGGGCCTCATCGGTCTGCTACCTTTTGTCAAATGATATGAGCCTGCCTTCAAGTGGGTCAACTTCTGACTTCAGTGATTTCTAATCTTTTCATTCCCTTTTAAAAAATCTTTAGTGATACATATTCGTTACTCCCTTATCTTTTCTGAATTTCTTTGGCAATTTAATCATCCTAAGTCTACAGAAAGCTTACATAATGGTTTCCATTTGATGCTAGTTTTTTCCCTCCAGGATTACATTTCTTCTTTAACCAATAGAGATAACAAAATTCCTTTTCTCTTGACCTCCTGTCCCCCACTTCTTTTAAATAGCCATTCCTTCTTAGTCCAAAGAGCAGCAATTAGACTGCTGAAGAAGTTTGGTATTTAAAAGTGGAATCTGTCCAATTTAATTCACTTTACTCTGAAGACTCTCAGTGTGGGAGGCTATGTAACAGAGTGCTTCAGGATCAGACAGACTTGAGTTTGAATCTCAATGCTGCTCACTTGAGCTGGTGACCTTGGGCAAATTACTTCTCCTCTGTGACTTCAGTTTCTTTATTTATAAAAGTTGACAAGCAATAGAAGCCTTCAAGTACTAGCTTAAGGATTAAGTGAGGTAATGCAGGTAAAGTCCTCGATACTAAAGGTTAGCACATAGTAAGCCCTCCATGAGTACTAGTGGCAACTCATATTCCTCTTGGTCTGCATCAGCATTCTGGCCAGGCTTTTGAATTCTCTGCACGTAGCAGAAAGTGCAGTACAAGGCAATGCATAATCTAAACTCTGGATGATATCTAAATGTCAACCAAAGAATGTATAGCACATATGCAAATGGAAAACTTTCAAGATGATAAACCTGTACGAAGCAGTAAAAATGCAGCCACAAATCACCCACTGTTAATTGCTGCAGTGCTGGGTAAATGGAGGGAAATTCTAGGATAGTGTCTTCAGGGCTGAACTAAACAGTGACTTATAATTGAAATGACAAAGGCATTCTTCCTATGATGATCCTGGAAAAGAAATGAATCCATCCAAACTAGAGACACTCAAATAATAGTGATTTCTTTCTTTTAATAATTATAGGCTGTAATAATTGGAAAGAATTGGGAGTCCTTTCTTTAAATGAAATCTCATGTATAAGGCTGATATATAACATAGCAGAAGGAGGGGTGGAAACTGGACAGGTGGCGGTTGTCTTTTTGCTCACCCTTGGTCTTAAATCAACCCTTGTACTTTATGAAATGCAGTTCAGAACCTCTGCAATTCAGAACTTTTGATTCTACACAGTCTTCTCAATAAACAATAACATGCAATTCTGAGATGATTTAAAGTAATAATTCACAGACACAGCCATTTTATAATCTGGAATCAGATTATATAAAAGGTATTTCCTTTTGTAATTTTTTTTCAACACTTCTATGGTTGCAAATCTTCCTCTGTTGCTAATATGGACTTAATGCTTCTCTTGTTCATGTAAAACTCCTCTGTTAAGGAAGAGGGAAGTCCACAGGAAAAAATCAGCACATACAACAGCATCTAGCTAGAACTAATTAAAACTATTTTAGTTTTATTGCATTACTTTTGTTTAAGATTATTTATGCATACAGAACTGGGGTACAGGTCAGAGGTGCAGGGGCAGTGAGAGGATTCACCAAACAGAGTGGGAAGCAGAACAGGCAGATTGACCAAGTACATGCTGAGAGGATCAGCAGGCAAGACAGGGGAGGTCTGCTGCACCATGTGGATCACCTCTGGGGCCAGGAATCGAACTTGCACTGAAGCGGCTATGACTAACTTGAAGTGCTGAGTCTTTACCCTCTGCGCCAGCAGGGAGGGCCCCTACATTTATTTTTAAGTTACATTTATGTCAAGTGTTTGGGGAAAAGGCCCAAGACTTGGAAATAAAACAAAATGAAGATTGCAAGATTTTGTTTTCTTTTGCATAAGCTAATCCTTTATAATGATGGATTATCTGATCTAAAATATCAGTACTGTCACTGTTAAGAGAACTTAATCTGACCTGTTTGCATGGTTCTGCTTTTCTTTCTTTGGCCAGTGCACCCCTGTGGACTTGAATGATGCCATACTGTAATTCCCTCAGTATATTCAGCAGTATTATTCTAGGTAAATATTGACTAGGTGGGAGATGAATTAATGTGTGTGTGTGTGTGAATCGGGCAATATAATCAGGGGGAAGAACCCTGGATTATAAGAAGATGCAAGTTTGGTAAAAACCTCACAACCAGCAAGGTAAATTTAAGATTTGGATTAGATAATGATTCTCACATTATTCTGCATGGAGCCTTAACAATATCTCACCCACTGTATCTCTTTTATACTATGGAATGCGAATGTAATTTCTTATATACTCATGGTGGTAGGAATTTTTAAATAAAGCATTTTTACTAAACCATTTTGGAGATAAAGGAAGTGAGTCCTGTACCTTCCTAGGAAATATAACTTTGTTTGACTGACTCATCACAACAGGTTAGAACACCAGAAATATTACATGAGATTTGTAGAAAGATGATAAAAGTGTGATATTTGTTTCCTAATTTACTAAGGTCTGTACTTACATTGCTATGTAGAAAGTTTACTTGCCTTGCACTAAAGGACAACTGCAAGTAAGCATCTCTTTGTGACATAAAAGCATCAAGAATCTTAAATACTTTTTAACCAGTTCTATTGTTCAGCTTGTTCCCTAATTCATTAAATAAAACTTGGACACATGCTCATTATCCAATTGCATAAGATGCTATTTTTAATCATTTGGGAATTCTGCTTTTACATAAGTGACATAGACTGCTTACAGTAGCAATATAAAAACTTGTTTACTTTTATAAAAGTTATAAATTTATAGAGTTTAAAAACAAACAATAAAAAAACAGAAGTCGCCCTTGCTAGAAGATTTTCTTTATTTCTTTTAGTTAATATAGTTGTTGTTAATTATATTCTGGTAT